TGCTGAGGCCGCGTCCCACATACAGCAACTAGAAGGATGTGCAGCTATGACACACAACTATCTACTGGGGCTTTGGGGGGAAAAAAATAAAAAAATAAATAAAATTAAAAAAAAATACACCATCAGGCTGATATGCCAAGCTAAGGCATCATTAGAAGGTGAGTGGCATTAAGACATGAGTCCATAAATCTCCTTAAGCAGGCAGAGACTTATGAGTCTATTTCCTTGCAAAAATAGAGGCCAAATTCACAAGTGAGAAAAAATAACTGAGGAAGTAGAGTAGTTCAAGGTAAACAATCCAGAAATACCATTTCTTGGATGATTTCTGGATCCATATCAGGCCCCAAATGTCTCAAAGGGAATTTGGGTCTTGCAGTGATTCACGGGTCTCAAAGAAACGGGTCCTGCCTCCAACTGGCCTTTTTGTTATGCAAGTTACATCTCCTCTCTGGGCTTCAGTTTTCACATCTATAAAATGAAGGTCGTCAATGGCAGCACAGCCTTTCTACAAAAGAGGCATGAAGGGAGGCACTCTGGTTGGAAGGAGGTTGATGAGGGGACTCACCTTAAAGCTGCCTTTGAACCAACACTTTCCATAACATTGAGAAAATGTCAAATGTGTATAATTAAGAGCTGGTGGAGATGATGGAGGGGCTGAAGTCACCAGGAGTAGGAGTGCAGTGGTCAGCATTTGATGACATCTAAGAGCTCCACCAGCCTATTGAGTCTATGATCTCTTGGTTAGACTTTCTCATGGCTACTCTTCTAGATTTCCTTTCCCTGAGAGATACCTTGCTTGACCATTTTAAAATCTGGTCATCTGGTATTTAATAATAGTAGGCATCTAACTAGAACACAAAATTTTAGGGTTGGAAAGGATATTAGCACTTGTCTGGTCCAAGCTCATTATGTGTAAGCTGTTGAAATAACTTTGCCAGTGAGGAACCAAATCTTCTCTCTTGTAGGAAGCCCCTAGTGGCACCAGGGAAAGAATAACTCAATTCCTCAATTCTCACTCAAAGTTGAAGGAATAGTCCAAAAACTCATGCTCACACCCTATTACAAGAAGGCTCAGTCTTGTCCTGGCTATATAGACGATCAACTGAAGAGAAATTGGTGTCTGTCATTTACACATATAGACTTACTGGCTAAACTCTGAATAAGCATATTATAAATTAATCTGGACTCACAGAAACCTTGAACTGCAAAGGAACTTAGAGATCACCTAGTTCAGGGGTTCTTGACCTAGTATGGTAGTTGCTATGTCTGTTCACTGAAATTTGAATCTTTTATTCCAGGCACATGAAGGACTGCACATGGTGATTTGCTTGGAAATGAAATGTGAATGGAAACTGTGTGTCACTTCCAATTGGAAGCCCTAGGAGCCAGTATGTCATCTGCCATATTGCCTTTCCCATAGCCCAGCAACCAGTGATAACCCAGATGGTGTGCATGATGCATCAGCTTGGATCCCTGATTGAGGAGTTATGGAGCAGAGCTCCAAGCTTACCCACAATGAACATCTATCATGAGCAAGGAAGAATTTTTGTTGTCATAGCCTTTAAGATTTTTTGTTACTGCAGCATATCCTCACTGATGCACCTGGGATCTAATACTTCTCTCTAACTAAATACAAAAATTGGCACTATGTACATTATCCTGTAGTTTTCTTCATATTCTCAAAGATGATCTCCATAACTGATCTCATCCACCCTCCTCCTTTTAGGGAACAGGAGGAGGGAACAGGGAACAGGAAAGCAGGACTTGCGATTATCTTCCACTTATAGGGATCTTGAGTCATAAATGTGTTGTAGAGCAAAGATCCCTGAAACTGTTGCTTCTGACGACTTTTATATCTGAGGTGGGGGAATACATCCTTCTTACAATCTTTCTCTCATGGAGTTCATGCCATTTGTTCAACTCTTTTCTTTTGTCTTAAATTTAAGACAAAAGTTAAATGAGTTAGCTAGTTAACTAAATCATTAATTAACTCATTAAATGGGTTAATACAGGTAAAGCGTTTCAAAAAGTGCATTAAATGCCCCACAAATATTCACTGGTACCATGACCATCACATCTTCCCCTCAGCTCAGAGCAATCCTTCCCCATCCCCCAGAATGTTCATAAACATTGTCTTTAATCCTATTTCCTTTTCTTCTTTTTCTGATTCCTCCTCAATGTCCCCTGGAAAATATTTCATTCTCTCCTCTTCTCCTGATTTGTGGGAAGAATACAGATCTGTTTACATGAGCAGCGTGGTGATCCACCATTGCCTAGGGAAACAAAGCTGTGAGTCTGAAAATAAAATAAGAAAGAACGGTAAAGTCATCATCATCAATGATGAGAACTCCCAAAAGTGCCTCCAGAATCACTGCACAAATTTTTATCCACCTCTTCTAATTCAACCTGCCTTATTGTTCAAGAACCAATGTCCAAGATCAATTAGATTCTTCATGATTTGATTTTCTGGGGGAATGGATTTATGACCATGGTCTTCAGCTACAACTCAGTCTTTGAACCACCTAGGTAAAAAGACATGAAATCAGACTGAGTAGACGGATTGGGAAAATGGGCTTTGTGGGGCAGAGTTGCTGATGGGGCCCCCAGCCCTAACTCTGCTGCCTCCTTCAGGATGAGCATGCTGCTGTGGTGATGCTGAGTGTGGTCAGAGATCCACAAATGTCTCATGTTTGTAAATAGTCCCATAAGCACAAATGCATGCATCGTTGGTGTGAGTTCTTCCAGATTGCTGATATAAACTGTGATTATAAAAGGGCAGTGGTGTAGCAGGATTTGAGCTTACAAATGTGTGAAGACATTTCCTTATCCAGACAGTGCCAGTAGGAACTCTGGGGGTCAAGGGAAGCTATGCTGAGATATGCCACATCTGCTCCTGCCATGGAAGCTACTCGGTTTCCAGTAAGATCTTGTATCCTTGGCTAAGTAACTCAGCAACTTAGTCTAACCTTATTCTCTGTGTGTGTAGGTGTGTATGGAGATGGTGTTATTTCTTCCCACCAATCTATAACCCCCCTGAAATACTAAAATTTTATTGTTGATTTTTTGCTGGTTATTATTTCTAGTAATTTTTATTTCAGAAAGTACTAAGGTTCAGTCACATAATTTATAACATTTGTCTTAGGGACAAACGTCTTTTGAATTCCAAATTAACTTACACATGAATTTTTGAACTGCCTCATATGTTAGGAACCGCCTATCCTGGACAGCAACATTTGAGAGCAGCCATGAACCTCAAAAGGACATTAGCTCTGCTCACTTGTGCAATAATCCATGAACTTACCAAGTTTAGACATATGGACTGTGTGATATATTTCTAAAATGCACGCAGGGAATCTCTGGCTTCTGTTTAATGTTATCTGGCCAATAAAGGGCACCCAGGAGAGAGATTCCCAGTTACTAGTCCTTAAGCAGTGCTGTCCAATGGAACTTTCTGAGATATGCAAATATTCTATTATCTGTGCTGTCCAATATAATAATCACTAGTCATATGTGGTTACTGGGCACTTGAATTGTGGCTGGTGTGACTGAGGTACTGAATTTTTAACTTTATTTAATTTTAATTAATATAAATTTACAATTAATAGCCACATGTGGCTAGTGGCTGCCATATTGGACTTTGCAGCCTTATAGTTCCACAAATGGAAGACCAAGCACTGAGACTGGGGAAAAAGAAATTAAATCTGGTTGAATTCTATTTATATAAAAATGAGGTGTACAAATTAATTTAGGAATACCACCTCAGACTTAAACTATTCCTTTTGATCCCTGAACAGTTTTAAAATTGTATTTAAAAAACAATTTGCAAAAGGAACCAATTACTCACACAGTCACCCATCCTTAATTTGATCTGGAAACAAAAGACTCTGGACAATGAAATAAATACTGATTTAAAAAAAAAAAATCACAGTTTTTCAGGGACTGCAAGACTGAACAATCTTAATCTTTCCAAGAATAAAAGCAAGAAAATCAGTGGCTGACAGTAAAATTTTTTAAGACAGAAAATTGGCTGGTCAATACCTTTGAGATGAAAAATTAAGGGTTTGAAACATTAAGCCCTCTTTTATACGCACACCAAATCTTGAGAGTTTTACGAGAAAATACATCTTAATTCCACAACTAAATTTGCAAGTAAAGTTCTTCCCAAGTGCTACAAAGATAATTTAAAACTGTTGGAGCATAACAACATATTGGAAGGGGCGAGGTGACTGGCTTCCTGGTAAGTTAAAACGGACACGTGAGTTGAACATAGCAGGGACTAAGTTCAGCACCTAGTTCCTCCACCTGCTTTTCCTCCCTCCCTCTTTCTGTCATTCTTCACCTTGTGTGTTTCTCTCTGATAGGCAGTGCTGAGGGTGACCTGGGTCCCAATTCCCTCTCTGCTGTCACCCAGGTGTTATAATCTTGGGCAAATCATCTAACTCCTCTGGCCTCAATTCCCTCCTTAGTCACTAAGGAGACTGGACAAAATGATTTATACAATTCCCTCCAACTAAAACCTGATTCTGGCTCTGTGTGTCCTTTCCTGTGCTTCTTTCTCTCCCTCCACACTCTCTCCTCTCCACTAACTAGCCTCAATTTT